CCTAATGCGGTGAACAACAGTAATTCACTCTACATAATCATGTAATCACATAAACACATACGAATTTCATTCCTGGATAATGACCATCCCGCGGTGTTGCTAGAGTTCCAATTAGAAACAGCAGTGATCAAGTGCTTTTCTAACGGGACTTCCAGAAACCTGTAAGTCCAATCAATATCTTAGGAACTAAATCTCATACTCATATAATTACATAAGGATGTTATCACATAGCATACCATACATACTAACGTCTCTATCAAGCGAGACGAACCCATTGTGGTAATAACCATTTCCTACGTACCCAAGGTATTCAAACCCGGTACACTCTAATACCAAGTTATTACACCCCGAAATAAATGCCATAAATCGACTCCCAATAACATATACACAGTGACATAAACAAAATAATAATATTTCATTAATCAGAATTGATATACAAAAGGTAACACATGCCTTATACATTCATAAATGATTCATCATGAATCTACAACATATGTTACAATATGTAATAAGAGATGGAGGTTAAACAAGTATTCATATGCCCTAAAAGCTTACATCTTTCCAAGGCTGTGCTTGGTTACAACAAAAGTGGATACAAATCCAATACATATAAAGCCCTTGGCTTAAATCAAAGCAATAACATAATAAACAAAAGAAGCTTTCAACTCTAATTCCTCCCAAGCTATTGTCTTAGTAGAGTCATGTCCTCAACACCTGAAAATGGTTTTCCCAAATAGGGTGAGCCAAAGCCTAGTAGAAACGATATAACATAATATATGATTCTTAACAAAAATATAAGCATTCGTATTCTCACAAGATCATAATATGCCAAGTTTCATATCTCAAGCCATTTTATCTTAATTCATTTAATGACAATTCATTTCACCTTAATCCGTGAGTCAAGTCTATTGTTATCCAAACAACTCAACTGAAGCTATAACTCAGTGGTTCTCTAACCAATACAATCATTATACAAACACTTTAAATTTGCCATTTTACAGAAATTTCGTCGGCGAGATTGGCACCCATGTATACGCGCAGTTTTCGGAACTTTCACTCTGGACACACAAGACCATACAGTGTCTTCACCAACGGTTCGACACGACCATACAGTGTCTCCTATCCTATTTTATTTTCTTTTATCAATTTACTTTCCTGTTTTGTTACTCTCTCCAAACTCAAGTTGGTTAGTACCTATCCTCCTTGAGTTTGAGGGGGGCTGTTAGTTTATTATTGTATATTAGTGATTAGTATCTTTAGTATATTATGTACATCTAGTAGTGTTAGTCATAATTGTTAGTGTATCATTATGTCTAGCTTTCATAATGAGTGTTCCCCATTTGCTTTATGCTTTCGGTGCTAATTGGCACCCTATGTATCTTTTCCTCTCTATAAAAGAGAGTGCACATCTCCTTGTAATATACACAATAACATACATCAATCAATAATCAATACATAATTCATTCTCTCTCTTTTTATCTATACATTAAATCTAATAATCTAATTGTCTGTTGCTGTGAAATCCTTCCGACCATGGTAAGAGCTTGTAGATGGTCGAAGTTTGTGGATGGAGTTTGATTGAAGAGAGCTTCACCGTCGCCGGTGTACGCCGCCATCATCTTTCTTGCCCTTGGTTTGAGTGAAGGTAGTGCTAATTTGTAGTGCAATATGTAGTTATTTTCTTATGTGTGCGCCACGTCAAAACTATAAAATAAATTGAGGACTGAGATCAGGGATGGAGGCAGGGGGTCCTGCTACTCCTTTCTGAAAATTTTCAAATTTACCTGTATACTATTTCAATTTTTTTTTGGTATATTACATAATGGCCTCCAGCAAGTCCCAATCTCAAGAACAGTTATTCCAATCAGTCCCATATTTTTTCTATTATTCTAATAAGTCCAATAGGTATTGACAATATAATCGTGAGATCCTGTTTTGCATGTTTGGTAATTTTTGTTTGATGGTTGTGTCCTTTTCCACTACGAACTCAAATTTTCCCACTGTAACACCCAACAAAAACCCGGCTAATGTGGTATGTGTCATGTTCAACTGAAAGGAAGGGTTCTAAAAAGGCTATAATGCATTTTTTCCCACTATGACACCGACTTTTTCCCACTATAGCATCCACTTTTCCCAACTGATATGGCATATGGCATGTTTCACCATAAGAAAGTGTTTTAAAAAAGGGTATAGTATACTTTTTCCAACTGTCACACCCATTGTTTTTTTCACTATAACACCCAACAAAAGGTTGGGAGAGTTCTAATGTGCCATATTCTATGATAAGGAAAGGTTTTAAAAAAGTTAGTGTATTTTTTCTTACTATAACACCCACTTCTTTCCATTGTAACACACAACAAAATGTTAAATTTGTCATTACGCATTCAATATGACCAAACAGAACATAAGAAAAATCTTAGGACTATCTAGATCACAATTTTAACATTTAAGACTTATTGGTCAATCTCCCAATTCAATTTCACTCTCAAAAAATTTATGAAGTCCACAATATAGTAGAGTTGTCTTTCAAAATTTAATGGCTCATATGTTCCCATAAATATATGCAATAATATTATGATAATTATATTTTTTTATCATCTCATGTGTCAATATTACATTAATATCAAGCATGGGTGGTTAATATAATAAACAAATTGTAGTGAGAAAAAAAAAAGATCACCCAAACATTATTGAAAATTTTAGTCTGGCCCATGTTAAAAAGTTATTGGTAATCACATGTGAAAAAATTTTGTAATATACAAATAATATAATTTATTTAATTGGTATGAAATTATATTAAACATTTTTTTAACTGACAACCATTAAATTTTTAGACAAATAATGCAGTCTACTTATGAGTTCTTATAATTTATTTAATGGAATCACTTGTGAATTTCATAGATCTAGGGATATTGACATGCTTACCACTTATCTATAGATCCTTACATTTTGACCTCCTTAATGATAAAATTTGTACAAATAATATATAAAAATTATTCTCTTACAATTTTATTAGTTCAATGAGCCTCTATCGAATAATATTTAATAATAATTTAATCAAATAAAACTCAAGCTGATCCATCGATGGCTTGGCAAACCCATCCTATGCCTTCCTCTTTGACAATTTTCCCGTCCTCCTACCGGAGGAACCCTGGCTCTGCCCCTGACTAAGATAATGTTTAGTCAAACCGATGTGGTTTTGATTTTGGTATTTTTTTTTTCCTCTGTTTCTCTCATGTGTCTCTCTTCTCTGTCACAAAATTGAATATGAGGTTGGAACTAAGGAAGGAGAGGAGAGGGAAGTACAGACGACAGGTTAAGACCCAAGATACATGAACCTACAGATATTTCTGCCATGATTGGTTTATAAAATAAACATCCCTTCTGAAATGAGCCCCAACAAACTCAACAAAATTGAACTAGAATTCTTTTCCATAGGAGAGAGGCTAGATCTTTTTAATTAAGGTTCATTACTAACAAAGCAAGGCGAGGAGCCCCTCCACTTGAGTAAAATTATTTTCTAAATAATATCTGCAGAAATTCAGAAAGTTGAATGTAGGACAGATTCATGAAAAAATTTATATTTTGAATTATTAATTTTTATAAAATTTACTATTTATTTATAATTATTTTTCAAAATTACTATTAAATTGAAAATTTCCCTAATTTAATTTGGGTTGGGTTTAGAATCAATCTAATTTACCTAGTGAGGGAAAAATTGGTATTTAAAAAAATTAAATTACTGAGGGGGGAATCTGTAACGAAACTTTAAACCTCAAGGAGGGAGATGTAATTTTCAAAAGGTAAGGGAGAAATTGTAATAAAAATAAACCTCAGGAGGTGTCAGTGTAGTTTACCCTTATTAATAATTCAATAAAAGTTGTCTTTCATTATTATACTTCCGTTGCAAACCAATTCTAAAATCCTAAACTAATGAAAAAGGAAAACTGTGACGTCTCAAAATTTACACTAAGGATTGTAGTCAAAAGAAAGTCACTAATCAGTCCTACGGTGGGGAAAGGGTTGTAGTCAAAAGAAACTCTTATTATATTATTGTGAGGGGAAAGGGTAAATAACCATGACATGTCTACGGTGCATATAGGTTCTTCGATTATTATCTCTTTCCCATTCACATTATATAAATTATAGTAGTTGTTTTGATATTATTAATAATTTTATCAAAAAGTATATTAATAGATTCTTAAGTTTAATAAATTAATTGGCCTAATTACAAAAGGGGAAATTGTCTAATATATATTTTGAAAAATGTGTATAGCATATATACCTTAATTATATAGTTTGTGGTCTTGGTTATGACCTATAGTGATTTTGATTATGACTTTGTTATGACTTAGTTAAAACCTATTGTGATTGTTATTTCGAATATGATCGTCTTTGGTTATGGCCTATAGTTATGACACATTGTGGTTGGGAGAATTTCGAAAAAATGAAAACTAAAAAAATATTTTTTAAATGATGAAGGTACAAGATTTATTTGCATTATCTAATGCATAAATTATTTATATCTCTATCATTTTAAAATTAATTTTCTACTCCACTTTTTTGATATTCCCCTAAATAATTCTGACAATTACATATTCAATTTATTAGGATCGATCAACTGAATAATTCTAAGGCCCCGTTCAAAAATTAATTACTTTAGTTTACATTTTAATTTTTTTTAACAAACCGACATACAGATTTTTTTAATTCCAATCCAAATCTCAAGTGAGTTTGCCTACTCAACTTCTGCCTAGCCCTAGTTTAAACTTTGAGGTTTCGTTTGAAAATTAATTATTTTAGTTAATTTTTTAATTTTTTACGAGAAATTATGTAAAAGAAATTGATGTAATAATTTATAATAATTTTTTTAACTGAAAATCACACTCTCGAAGGGGTTTGAGTTTTTTATTTTAAAAAAGTGAATTACAATCTAGTCCACTCTGTCCTCCACCTCAAATAGCACCAGCCCTATCCTATCCCATCCCACAACGACATTCACACATATATTTAACTACCGGCTAATCTCTCTCTCTCTCTCTCTCTCTCTCTCAGATTCTGTGGAGAAGCCATGGCTTCTTATGCTAGTATTAGGCAAGTCCTCCAGCCCAAATGTACTAAATATTCTCAATTTCAATTGAGCCCATCTTGGGTTGTTCCTTGCTCACTTGTATTCAAGACCAAGTACATCAGTCGCTTCTCCAGGCTACATGAATTTTCCGGCCACCGGAATCTGACAGCTGCCTCAAAGGCAACTTCAGGAAATGGTGCCAAGGAAGATGAGGATGGAGTGTCTTTGGGGACCATGAAATTGCCATTAAACACTGACATTCCTAGATTTGAAAGCTTGCTTTTCCAGGTACTTGTTACTTTGTCCAGTGAGCCAGTGACTTAGCTTCTTGTGTGTGAATGGAATGTTAAATGTACTAGTCAACTACTCAAAACAAAAGTGCAGTTATATATATAATCTTCAAATTGCATATTTCTGCTGAGCATTGTTTGGAGTAGCTTGTAATCAAAGCTCTATGTGCTTTTCTAGATAAACTGTTTGTGCTTTTTCTTGATTGATATCTAGTTTGAAACAAAATGTGCAGTAAACATGTTGACAACCAACAGAGCAATGCTATGTAAGCAAATCACAACTTTTTGATTAAATATATAGTAAATGAACATGAAGCATATACTTTTATGAAAGCCAACTCAATTCACAATAAAAATTGTTTTCTTGTGTGATGAGAGTGAGATTGAGGGAGGAGAGATGGGCAGGATGAAAATGAGGGTTTCAATGAGAGGGAAGCAGATTTAGAAAAAAAAAAAATTTCTCCCAAAAAGGAACAAATTTTTTTTTCTTGTGGCATCTTTTAGTGAAATTCCATTAAGGTTGTGTTTAGATTTTGGATTTGTAAAGGTTTACAGACAGAGAAGAAAAAGAAATGGAACAGAGTTTCCAATTCTTCTCTTTTTAACAAATCCCTCCACAAAATTCAAGATCCCAAATATCACTGAAAAACATATAATGGTTGAGTGACATGTTTTAAAACATGCTAGTAAATTACTTTTGTCGCACTTTTTGCTGGAAAATGCCACTACACTGATGCCACTAAATCATATTTTTCTTTTAGTGCATATTTATTATACTTGATTGGATCTACTTGACAGTTCCCTCGATTCCAAGGAAAGATTTGCTGAACAGCGTAAAAATTGGATTTGTCTGAAAAGTGAACTATATAGCTACGCAATTCAATTCTCACGGTAGCTAGATTCTAAGTTGTGGACTCAATAAAGAAGATGATGTGATTTCAATTCTATCATCTGATTATAATAGAAGGAAGAATGAAAAAGTAGTGCATTATGTGCTTAAGATGTATCATCTGAGGTGCTACTGAAAACATAAACCCTGAAATATTATTCACCAGGTGGCTCTGCTCTTTCAAACCTGGGATTGCTGATAACTAAAGGATTCTTCTATATAGATCAAACAACATTTAACCTATGTTACATGGACTCTTCAAATTAAATCAAATACCCGTGTCGGACACCCGACACTCGGACAAGGGTATGGGATATGTGTCGGATACTTTTCAACGGATACTTCTTATATAATTGTATATAACACTATTATTATATGTATATATTGCTATATAATTGCTATAAATGTCATTTTGACACTATAAGTTAAATATAATACCATTTTATCTCACATATTAGATTAAAAATATAAAAATATGACATTTTTTTGCCGAGTCCGCGCATCCTTAAATTTATGATTTAATGAGTCCGACCTCTAGATACATACCCGCACCCGACACCCGTACCCGAGTCCATGTAACATAGCATTTAACTCAATGTTTCTTTTCCCCCTTTTTATGGACTCTGGTTTTTTTCCCCTTTGTGGTTGTTGCAGTGGGCAAACAGTCTTTGCCAAGGAGCTACTTTGCCACTTCCTATGCCTTTGAAGGTTGGTAATTCTATGTATTTTATTTATTTATTATATATGCCTTCTAAACCACTAGTAAGATGAATATGTTCATGGGATTGTTGTGACAGTGCTTACTTCAGCCTAGGTAATGAGGCTTGTCCCAATACCTGTGCAACTTATCCACTCATACCAAGTCTTTGAAATCCTCATTAAGGTCCGGTTTAGTGTCAGTTTTTTAGGGCTTCTTCTAATTATATATATGTATATTTTGGAAATTTGTGGTAGAGTATTTAGTGTAACTTTTGCTTACAACTTATAAGACAAAAAAAAAAAATAAAACAAACAAACAAACACAAAACTTAGTGTAAAAAAAATGCTTATTAGGAAGCTGGGGGAGGGATATTTTTAACTTTTGTTTTTATGACTATCAACTTTTAACTTGCAAGAAGTTGTACTAAACAAGGTATAAGATGAGAGTAAGATACTGCTCTGTAGATTGCAGACAGGGAGATTGTGAGCTAACACAGTCCTTGAGACACACAGAATCTGCAAATTATTTTTACCATATTGCACTTCATTGTTTTTATTTTTTATTTTCCCTAATAAGAAGATCAACTATGTGGTCTTGAATCTGTTGATCAACCTAACTTTTCGTTCATATTTCTCTCCAATGGGATTTTTCTTATTCTTTTTCTCCTGTCTGAATCCAAAGTATGGTGATCAGAGTACTAGGTATCAGATTTGTCATGTCTACCTTAAAAAGGGCATATTATAGACTAAATCAGACCAGACAATTTATAGTATTCTTGCATGGTTTGCCAAGCCCCCATTGAAAGGAAGGCAACCATTTAATGAGACGATAGTTCTGCCATTAGAAGCTCTTAGCTAACTTCAACGTTTTTCTCTTGCTTCACCTATTCGTCGTTTTCTTCAAACTTCTTGATAAAAGTAATTTCAGTGACCTCTCTTTTATCAATTTCAACGTTCTCACTGTTGTTGAAATCAACATGATTTTCTACTTCAATTGAATGTCTGTTTGGGTCTTCAAAATTTTCAAACATTGAGATATTCAAAATCTTTTCTTCTTCAATACGTGGTTGAGCGTCACAAATTTGTTGACCTACAAGACTTGTTTGACCCAAACTTGGTAGAACTATAGTCATGTTTCTCGAATAATCTGTATCCATAATTGCATAATAATTATTGAATTGCAAAGAATATTGTGAATCAAAATTACCTTGGAACAATTGTTTCGATTCAAGCTTTCTTTGATATTGTTGAATTCAAGCTTTCTTTGATATTGTTGATACAACATTGGCCCATGATTTGATTGAAGGAATCCAGAACTCATCAACTTCTTCATCTTATGCTACGTCCTAATTGGTTATTTATATTGTCACCTTCGATCTTACTGCAATTGTTTCCACCATATAGAAATATAACCTTATAACTTACATGTGACATATTTGGCTTACTTTTCTTTCGAGATTTCCACACTTAAGGAATTTGTCAACTTTGTGAAACCAATAAATAAAATCCTCAGCATGACAAGAAGTATAAAAGTAGAGAATTTCTGGTTGTACTTGATAATCTAAAAAATCATGATTGATGTAATTACTCATATTGAACACATCACTGAATCTTCATTGTCACCTTATCGACTGATATTCACCATAATCCTCGAATAACTCATTTTCATATTCGTCCTCACTATCGTATTGATAACGAGAAGATCGTCTCAAGACGTTGTGGTTAATAGGCTGGCCTTGGGCGAATCTCATAACGCGGTTCCCATTAACGTTGTGACTAATACTCGAATCCTATTAAATCTTTCTGTACGATCATTGTCAATAGAGCTTGTGCTTCCTTTTTCAATGAATGACATCAAATCAGGCGAAACCTTGCTTTGATACCACTTGACGCAGCGGAATACATGGGAGACTAGATATCGTTCTAGTAAATGAAAGGGTTCACGAATCTACAAGAAAAATAGAATCTTGAATCCATAAGAAATAGAAAATATCTTAATTATGTTGAATAAATGTTATCTTTGCCATGAACCTTACATAACTATTTATAATAACATAAATCTTGAAGAGCAAGTATTGGACACCAAGAAATCTCAAATTAGGAAATAATATACTAATCTAATTCTTGAAAAATAAGAAACCTAAGAAATTAGGAAAAGCAAATCAAAAAAATTTAAAAACCTAATTTAAAAATATTTATATTAAATTATAAGAATTCTAGTCAAATAATATATCAAAAATATTAAAATTAAAAATATAAAAATTCTTAAAATCTTATCCTACATCACTCTGAACTAACACGTGCTTCTTTCCTTGTTAGACTTATTTAGCTTCTAAAGAGTGAAATGCATTAACCTTCACTTGAACAGGTTGACAAAATCCCAGGTGGAGCTAGACTGGGTTTCATCACTATTGGTGATGGAGAGACTGAAGTACTTGTCTACATAGACTGCTTAGTTTTTCCGGCAACTGATGGTTCTGGTCCGGTTTTCCGAGCAATAAGGAATGGATCCTTGAAAGATCAGCCACCTCCCGGAGAGCCACGCATAATGAGAAGCCTGCTACTAGCCCTCAAAAAGTCGGCCGAAATAGCGAGAGTTTGAATGAGAATGAGTGTTTCCTTTGAGTTGTAAATTGTAATAATATATTTTTCTTTCAATGTCCTTGTGATCAATATATGTCGTTATAAACAAAAATTTAATATTTAGCAAAGAGATCAATGTCCTGATCTAGTGATCTAGTGTGTTATTTTGGTTTTTGAATACACAGAGACAACACATTCCACAAAATATTAATAAATAAATATTAATTTCAAAATGATAAAAATAAAATATAGTCTTTAAATTTCGGTCTGCATTATTCTCCCACATTTGAAAAGACTCGACCTCAAGTTTTTACGGATTGAAACAATTTGATTAGTCTGTGCTTGTCTGTATTAATCTTGTAATATTCCACAAAATAAATACATCTTTTACCGTAAGGTATTCAGTTTTTAATTCTAGTTCGAGATGGTGGTGAATGAATATCATTGCTTTTGTTCTATTCGGCAATGATGTTTCATTTTCATTCTTAATGTTATTTCCAAAATTCATTGTATCAAAGTGACTTAACAACATAAAAAATCTAAGATAAATAATTTTTTCTCGAAATGTCAAGGACTGTGAATTCTAATTTTGAAAGAGTCCATATATTTATGAACTATTTAGAATTTCTTCATATTTACCTCAACCATCACTACAAGAAAAATCACCTTTGGCGACTAAATTTTTAGTCAGCAAAAGTCCATTTTTAGTCGTCAAAAGTCGGCTTTTTAGTTTCCCCGACTAAAATTTTTAGTCGCCGCTTTTGTCGCGAATACATGGTCGCCGGAGGTATTGGCGACTAAAACTTTTTTAGTTGGCAAAAAACAGGTCTTTAGCGACCAAAGTTTTAGTTGCCAATAGTGATTTACACTTTTGAAAATCATACATTTAGCGACTAATCCTTTGGTCGTCAATACTCACTGAATTGCCGACTAAACCGTTTAGTCGCCAAAATAAAGACTTTTGGCGACTAATAATTTTAGTCGCCAAAGGTGCTTCTGTGAAAAAAAAAAAATACCAACTTTTTTGCTTTTTCTAAGATTCGAACCACCAACCTGTCCCACATTCTAAACCTTTAGCGCCACACTCCCTCCACATGAATATATATGCAATATATATTATTTATATAGTATATTGACTCGTATTAATATAAAACTATATATATAAATATAATTATTTTTATTCAATATAATTTATGTAAAAAATAAATTATTTGCTAAAAAAAAATTGAGGCCACTTTTGGTGACTAAATCCATTATTTAGTCGCTAATTCTGTAATTTTGGGCTACTAATTATTTTTTAGTTGCTAAAAAGATAAGTTCCGCCTAAAAATAAACAGTTTTGGCGACTAAACCTGTTTTTAGTCGCCAAAAACGTCCCCTTTTGGCTACTAAACTGAATTTTAGTCGTCAATTGCCTGTTTTTAGCTACTAAATTTTTTTTAGTAGCCAAAAAGCTTCACTTTCAGCGACCAAACTGTTTTTAGTCGCCAAAACCTATACTTTTGGCTACTAAATTATTTTAGTCGCCAAAAACCGTCACTTTTGGCTACTAAAAAAAACCTTTAGTCGGTAAAACCTATATAATCGGCGACTAAATTTATTTTTAGTCGCCAATAACTATACATTTGGCTACTAAATTATTTTAGTCGCCAAAAGTGAAGTCTTCACTTTTGGCTACTAATTCCATTTTAGTCACCGAAAATGGCACTTTCAGCGACGAAAATAATTTTTTTAGTCGCCATTTTCTGCATTTTCTTGTAGTGCCATTTTAGGACGCGGGGGCCTGCTGTGATTAAGTTATATATAGTAGGTAACTATTATAAGCTCATGGAGGCTTTTTCTGAGCCTATTTCGATGATTTAAAATGTTCATATTGTAAGGTACGTCGAGTAGATCATTTATAAAAAAAAAGAAAAAAAAGTAATCGGATATTTGTAATCCTATAATAAGACCAATTTTTTTTTTAGATGATATGTTCAACAAATCCTATAATATGAATAGTTTGGAATATTGGAATAGACTCGGAATAAGCTGTTAGGGAAATTATGTGATTTCCCACAAGTTAATCAATCAATGGGAATAAAAACTAACGCAGAAAAATTAAATCAAAAGCAACACAAGAATTTTACGTGGTTCCCTCAATGTAAGGTACGTCCACGGGATCGAAATCTAATTCCACTATCAACTTAATAGTTTCCAAATGATTACAAACGAGACACGAATGGTCTCACAAACCACCTTTAGGTGAATTCCAAATAATCACAAATAAACAAGAGGAAAGACCTCACCAAATAGATGAACCAAAATCTTCAGAATCAGAGTTGAAGAAGACCCAAAATAATAACCCAAATCAGCATCGAAAACGAACCAAACGAAGCAGCTGAAACCACACCACCGAAGCAAGTATTAATCTCACCAATAATAATGATCAATAGTTGCTCACCTTGGAAAACTAAAATATGGAGCAGCCGCACAACACCTTTTTTTTCTTGGGAAAAACAATACCAATAATATATTGTGAATCTAGGGTTTTTTTTTTATTTATCAAAACTTTAGTTGTTTCCAAACTGAATTGGGTCTCCACAAAATTAGATATAATATATAAAAATATATTATAACTAATACCAAACCAAATTAAACTCTTTTAATAAATTAATTGGGTCCCACACTCCAATAAGGAGGTATACCCAACAATTCTTCTCCTACCGACTTAGATGGAGACATCAACCATACCCGCCAAAGTTCGACACTTTAAATGTTTGTCCCTCGACAAAGTCTTAGTCAACATATCTGAAATATTATCATCTGTGTGAACCTTTTCGAGTTGTAACAATTTCAAATCTAACACATCACGAATCCAGTGGTATCTCACATCAATGTGTTTTGATCTCGAATGAAAAGTAGAATTTTTACTCAAGTGAATAGCACTTTGACTATCACAATAAAGCACATACTTTTCTTGCTTCAAACCCAACTCTTGCAAAAAATTCTTCAACTATAACTATTATTTGCAAGCTTCCATAATGGCAATAAATTCAGCTTCGGTAGTTGAGAAAGCAACACATTTTTGTAATTTAGATTGTCATGCCACAACTCCCCCTGCAAAAGTAATCAAATACCCCGAAATAGATTTTTTAGAATCAACATCACTGGCCATGTCAGAATCTGTGAACCCATCAAGCATCGGCTTACCATCCCCAGAACACAAACACATCTTCGAAGTCCCTCGAAGATACCTTAGAATCCATTTTACCGCTGCAATGTTCTTTACCCGGATTAGAAAGAAAACGACTCACCACACCAATGGCGTGAGCAATATCCGGCCTTGTACAAACCATGGCATACATTAAAGAACCAACTGCTGAAGCATAAGGAACTTTCAGCATCTCTTCCTTGTCTTTCTCACTTGTAGAACATTGATTCGAACTAAGCTTGAAGTGACCCGCAAGTGGACAACCAACCGGCTTTGCTCTATTTATGTTGAACCTCTCAAGAACTTTCTCAATGTAGCTTTCTTGAAACAACCAAATCAGCCCCTCTTTGCGATCATGAACAATTTTCATACCAAGTATTTGCTTTGCCGGTCCCAAATCTTTCATAGCAAAAGACTTGCTCAACTCTAACTTCAACTTGTTAATCATGGTAGAATCTTGACCCACAATTAGCATGTCATCAACATAAAGCAAAAAAATAATAAATTTACCATCCGAGAAATTTTTCACAAACACACAATGGTCCGAAGTGGTTTTAGAAAAACCATTATTCATCATGAAAGAGTCAAATTTTTTGTTACCATTGCCACGGGGCTTGTTTGATGCCATACAAACTTTTCTTCAATTTGCAAACAAATTTCTCTTTCGCTTTCTCTACAAAACCTTCCGGTTGCTCCATGTAAATTTCTTCTTCAAGATCTCCATGAAGAAATGCAGTCTTTACATCAAGTTGCTCAAATTTAAGGTTCATACTTGCGGCCATGCCAAGTACAACCCGAATAGAAGACATCTTTACAACCTGTGAGAAAAATCTCATCAAAGTCAATACCTTTCTTTTGCCAAAGCCTTTCACAACAAGACGTGCTTATTACCTCAGATTCTTGCCATCATTCTTCAATTTGAAAAACCACTTATTTTTCAGAATTTTCCTCCCTTTAGGCAATCTTCACTAAATCATAAGTCTGGTTTTCAAGCAATGAATTCATTCCTCTCCATGGCCTTTTTCCAATCACCTTTCTTTATGCTCCAATTGCTTCTTGATAACTCTCGGGCTCCCCTTGATCGGAAATCAACACAAATTCATTAGGAGGATACTTTCTCGAAGGTTGTCGGTCCCTTGTAAATTTCCTCAACTCAAGTTGTGGTGACGGTTCTTGAGTTGGATGCTCTTCCTCAATTTCTGGCCCAACTTCATTAGGATTAGCATCATCCTCACATCTTCAATAGGTGGCTGACATCTCCCCATTTTCATCATCAACTGAAGATGAAGGAGCTGGATCCATGTCAATGAGGTCACTAGTTTTTTGCTCGGTGATCACCTTGCCAAAGTCTTCAATTTGTTGGTCTTCAAGAAACACAACATCACGGCTTCGAATGATTTTTTGTTCGACCGGATCCCCAATTCATACTCGAATTCATCAGCCCATAGCCAAGAAAATAGTCATTCTTGCTTACTATCAAAGCTGGACCTCTTATCCTTTGGAATGTGAACAAAAGCTCGCAACCAAACACTCTCAAGTCTCATAAGACACATCTTTGTCGTCTCAAACTCTTTCTGGAACTCACCATTCAAAGGATAGGAAGGAGACAAATTGATCACATCAATTGCTGTCTTCATTGCCTCACCCAAAAAGATCTTGGCAATTTAACTTTGAAAAGCAAACACCTTGTTCTTTTCTACAATGGTGCGGTTCATCCTCTCAGCAACCCATTTGTTGAGGGGTCTTTTTAACTGTCTTTGGTGCCGAATACCTTGGCTGACAATACTCATCAAATGGCCCAATGTATTCACACCATTATCTATCGGATGCACTTCAATTTTTCTGCCATTGTTTCTCTTTTAACATGGCTTGAAATGCTTAAATACTTCTAGAACTTGATCTTTAGTTTTTAGAGAAGAAAAGCCCAAACTTTCCTTGAATAATCATCAATGCAAGTAACAAAATAAAGTG